TTGACTGCTCTTACAAAGAAAGAAAGCAAACTCGTACATTAGTACATTTTGTTGCCGTATGGAGATAAGTATATATTTATTAGTACTCAATGACATTTGTATTAATACTTGGGCACTCTGAATTTGTGTTTTCTAATGTGGTTGCCTTTACCCCCAGATGTTTGTCCATCTTCCCTTTTAGTCAGAGAAAGTGATCAAGCAAAAAATTTGGGGAAAGGGTTTTTTTGGGGGGAGAAGGGTCAGAAAGCTTGATATTCTAAGCAGCCAATTTTGATTTTCAATATGCTGAAACTCAGGTCTAGTCTACATTCAATTGTATCAATGTAAAAGGTGTTTGAGGGTTTGTCTACATTTGGAAGTTAACACTGATTAAGTTAGTGTATGAATTAAGTTAGTGTATGAATAGCTGTTCCTAGTGGACTAAACTAAGCCGGCACACAGCACTTTGAACCCCAAAGAAGAGTGTTCAGCCACAGTAAACCAGAAAAAAAATCCATGTGTAAACAAGTTTATTCCCATGCAAGAAAAAACCCTGTATCTGTAAAGCACTTCTATACTAGCATATATATGTCTGCCCCAAGGATTGTACTAGTAAACGCATTAGGGACCCCCAATAACTCCTAGCTAGTCATACTAGTTTAAAATCTATATATAAACAAGGCCTCTGAATGAGTTGCCAAAATCTGATAGCCTGCTATAAGGAAAATGGCCACGCTTAAAGGCTAAATCTTATTTCCCTTATTCCCTGTAATGCTATTTGGATGAATCAGGACTCTCAATGTTCAAACTAGAAAGATGAAAACTAAGCATCCAGGGTGGCCACTGCTTACACTGAGCTCAGTCTTTAGCGCCATGGAATACACGGGAATTTGCAAAGGGCATTTCTAGCTCACTCAACTGCACAGAAAGGCATGAAACTGAAACACGCGCTTCCCAAGGGCTCAACAACCCAGGCGGCCCATAAGGCCTGCACGTGTCAAAACCCCAATGGTGGTATGCTGGGGAGGCGGACGTTGGCTGACGTCGCTGCCAACTCGCTAGACAAAGGGGCGAGCGGGGCACGAGGGGCAGGGGCCGCCGGAGCAGCAGCTCCCCCCCAAAGAAGCCCCGTTTCACGCGGGCTGCTGCTTTCGGACGAAACAGCCCTCGCAGCC